GGCGGCAGCAGCAGCAGTAACAACAACAACAAAATACATCAACATTGCGTATGGGATGTGGTCACTATATGTACAAAATAATGTACAACGTTACGGGATGACGCTATATAAAATGAAAGTATTATCGTTAGAAAGGTCCTGAAGGAATACTGCACAACGAAGAAGGTTGTTTTAAGTCGTAATCGGAACTCACGAGAATCAAAACAATGGATATAGGTGAAAGATGTGTGCACAACTTCACACGCACACGTATACACAACAACTACACATACGTGTACACAACAACAACCATCACAACGGCCGCCATTCTCAGCTAAGTGTCTGTGATGTCACCACAGCGCTTGTGCCAGGCTAGGTGCACTTTGAGGCTATCACGTGACGTGTGGAAGCCTCGCTGTGCTCCCCACGTGTACACAAACAAATGACAAAGATCCCCTATATAGCCTTTAACAGACTGTGGGATGGATGAGGCAGGAGGAGGAGGAAGGGAGTTGAGAATGAAGGAGGATTAGAATGATGAGAGGGACGAAGGTCGAGTAGGATGGAGGATGGAGGGAGGAGGATGGAGGGAGGAGGAGGTTGGAGGAAGAGGATGGAGGGAGGAGGATGGAGCAGGATGGATGGAGGAGGAGGATGGAGGAGGATGGATGGATGGAGGAGGATGGATGGAGGAGGATGGAGGGAGGAGGAGGATGGAGGGAGGAGGATGGAGGGAGGAGGAGAATGGAGGGAGGAGGATGGTGGAGGATGGATGGATGATGGTTGAGGAGGTTTGAGGGGCAGGGCAGCGGGTTGAGGAGGGGAGCGGGAGGAGAAGGCGGAGGATGAATGAGGAGATGATGGTTTGGGTTGTGGATGAGGAGTTGAGGGTCGAGGAGGAGGGGGGAAGAGGCGTTGACGGTCGAGTGGCCTCGTAGCGCGGCTGATAATGAGATTACAGTGAACCCGTAACCACTGCTTTTACGGGACGCGAGGATTAGTGGGACAGCGCGGACACCCTCATGCCCCCCCCCCATCCTCCCTCCCTCCTCCTCCCCGCACAGGGCAAGACGTGGGGAGAAGTCTTACCGTCTCGTTAGCTGCCCTTGGGCGTCAACACAACCATTTGCAAACTTTTTTGTCGGCTGGGAAGATCCATTACGTATTTATGCTCGAAGGAAGACGGTGTGAGAGCGGCTGGGGTGGGATGAACAAGTGAGGAAGGGTGGGGGGGGCGTTGGCATCACAACGCAGCGCGCTAACCACTGCGCCACCACTCGCTATCACTCAACGGCAACAACTCCACGTTCATATGGCGGAGCTTCTGCCGTAGAGGGAATTATGGTTATGATGATGATGGAAGGATTATGGATGATGCATATGATGTGAATGAAGGGATGATGGCGATGACAAATTGACGAACTGTCGTCCTTCCCCCGTATCTCGGATTAGCAAGGGTTGGCTACGTACGGTGCGAAAGAAGTTCGATATACATACAAACTCGTAAAGATTAATTTGTTTAACTAACCGAATAATATTTGCGGTTGAAGTGATGGCCCAATGATCAGCGCTTTGCACTATAAATATATACACACATGTAAGTACACACACAAAGCTGCACACCTGAGTTTGATTCCCGGCCACGGCTTACATCAGTGGCGCGTGAGATCTGAAGCAGTCCTTCCTCCCCACCCAACGTCACCAATCCGCACTGACCAGCGAGGTGAAGTATGGTCAATCGAACCTCCCTCCCTGCCCCCCGCCCGCCACGACTCCCCACCTCTAATCGCGCACCATTCAACGCCTCCTTCATCCACGCGTTAACGATCGCGTTCATGCGCGCGAGTTGAACCGGGGTACACCAGGTGTAGCGAGCTCGCTTTACGCACACACACCGACAGTCCTGATGTCAATCCACTGCTGGATGAATGCCCCCCCCCCCAACCTCCCTCCCCGCACCGACAACGTGCATGTCACGTGGGTTATTTGACCATACTTCACCACGCTGGTCAGTGCGGGTTGGTGAAGGTGAGAGAACATAGACGGGGGAGCATAGAAAAGTACAGTACAAGGGCTCCTCTACTTACGAACGAGTTAGGTTCCAGAGGTCTGTTCGTGGAGTCCAACTTTACTCATATCATTTACAAACATGTTGTACGGCATGCACACTAAACACGGACAATAGCTTTAATAGTTGTATAATCTCCTGTAGATGTAGATGCCACTGGTTCTTCACGTTCTGTAGATGGAGACGCCACCGCCGCCGTCTATTGCGCGGCGGTCGAACTTACGACAGGCAGCTGAATCATACGGACGGGTTTGTGCGTATCTCTGAAAGTTCGTAAGTCGGATGTTCGTTGTAGAGGAGTCCCTGTACAATAACGGAATTTTGGGGGGAAACGCCCAAGAGGAAGAACGTCGACGCTGGACGACGTTCAGAGCGAGGAGAGGCGTGCGGACAGCTGACGAGAGCAGTGGGAGGTGGAGGAGGAGCGAGACGGAGATAACCGAGGCCTTGGGTCTACACGCGAACAAAGCACGGAATCAGTTAGCGGATGAGGGAGAGACAGAGATAGTCTGGGAAGAAAGAAGGAACATTTGAGGAATATCGGTATTTTTTTTTGCAGAAACAACTCTGCCGGATGCAGGAAACGGTGACGGATGATGATGATGCCATGATGAAGCTGCTATCGTAATCCATGCAGGTGATCATACCGGTGGGATAAAGATGATGATGATCATGAATTTGGATATAGTGACGATGATGGTTGTGGATGATGATGAAATGTGACAGTCTTGTAGATGATGATGGCTGTGGTGGAATACGTTATGTCGATGATGATGGTGACTAAACCATGGAGACAATGATGATTATGCCGATGTCGTAGTTAACAGTTATCCTGATGATGGTGACGACGATATGATAATGGGAAATGGTGGCAAACGTTCTTGCTACCCATGATCAAGGCACGGACATCTCTCCCAATGGGTGGAGGTAACGGGGGCAGGGAATGGAGAGAGAGAGATGGATGCAGAGGGAGAGAAGGTGGAGATACGGGGAGGGAGAGATGGAGGCGAGGGAGAGTGAGATGCAGAAGGAGGAAGGCAAGCTGGGAGGCAGAGAATGAGGGGATGGAGAGTGATGGACGTATGGAGAGGGGGTGAGGGAGTCGATGGATAGGGGATGGAGAGTGATGGACGTATGGAGGGGGGGTGAGGGAGTCGATGGATAGGGGATGGAGAGTGATGGACGTATGGAAGGGGGGGTGAGGGAGTCGATGGATAGGGGATGGAAAGTGATGGAAGTATGGAGAAGGGGTGAAGGAGTCGATGGATAGGGGATGGAGAGTGATGGACGTATGGAGGGGGGGGTGAGGGAGTCGATGGATAGGGGATGGAGAGTGATGGATGTATGGAGAGGGGGTGAGGGAGTCGATGGAGAGGGGGTGAGGGAGTCGATGGATAGGGGATGGAGAGTCATGGACGTATGGAGGGGGGGTGAGGGAGTCGATGTATAGGGGATGGAGAGTGATGGAGGAAGGAGACGGAAGGAGGAGGAGGAGGGGGGTGGAGGAGATGGAGAGAAGCAGGCATGACCGCGCCATCTCCCGACTGCTCCAATCCCTTCCTCGTGACACGAGCGAGGTCGCCAAGAGTGCATTGAGCAGAGAGGCTTAGTGGGAGCGGGGCACGGAGCCTCAGAGCATCGCGCAAGGCTTATCTGGGCTGGGTAGAGCCAGGGGCGGGGGGCGGAAGAGGCGGGGGGGGGGCAATCGTAGGACAGGACATTGCAGGAGAGGATGGCACGATTGGACAGGACGTGTCTGTACAGAGTGTTTGTGAGTAGGGCGTCACTGGGCAGAGATGCATTTGGTTTGGCTGGCTGGATAGGTTGTGGCTGGGCAGGGCATGACTGAAGAGGTCACGGCTATGCAAGGCAGGGCAAGGCAGGGCAAGGTTGGACAGCAGGGCAGGGCCGGGCAGGGTATGGCTGGAGGGGTTGTGACTGAAAGGGCATGGCTGGAAATCCATGGCATGGCTGGAAAGGTCATGGCGATGTAGGGCATTGGAGGGTAGGGCATCGCTAGACATAACGTGGTAGAGTGAGTCATAGTTGTCCACAATGGTTATGAAGAACATTACATCAATTATTCAGAATTTGTGGAAATTATTCAGGGGTAGTGGTGGCAGAGTGGTCAGCACACTGTACTTGCGAACCCGATGTGACCCAAGTTCAATTCCCCGGCCATGGCTGACAACGTTTGGCAGTCGCGGGTGGCCCTCCACTTCACCGGCCCGCACTGACCAGCGTGGTGAAGTATGATCGTTTAAGGGGCACGACTGACGCGGCAATGGGGAGGCGTTCGTCCGCCAGGCGAATTGACAAATGACTGCACGTGATTACAACTATACTGTTTCGTTTTTTCGGTAAAGTCACGTAGGTAAAAAAAAATTAAAGAAAATAACTAAATCAAATCACGACGTTTCGGAGGCAACACAACTTTCCGTCTTCAGGTGGAACAGTCACAGTCACAGCAAGATAGCACTTGCCCCGACAGTCTGTTAAGGCTACACGGGGGATATTTGTCTTTGTATACGTGCGGGTGGTGAGGAGTTTTGAGATAAGTGGGGGGGGGGGCGGTGGCGTTGAAGTGGTGGTGAAGGGGGGGGGGAAAGGGGGGGGGAAGGGGGGGGGGCCCCGTGAGGTCTGGGTGGTCGCTTTGCCCAACAGCCCCCACCCCACCTCCTCCCTCTCGCATCACCCCGGCAGCTTTGTAGTGCCGCCCAAGCCGAGCTGGGAACTGCGTTGTTGGGGGGGGCTTGGGGGGGAGGGGGGAGGGGAGGGGTCGAGGAGGGGATAATGGGGGACGGTGGGGGCGGGGCTCGCGTTTGATCGCTCTAAGAATGTCCTGTCTTGGGAAGTCAGAGAGGCGCTCATTAGTCCACATTATGCTCACCTGCCAACGATGGATGTGGGAGACCGCGTTAACACGCAGCTGTAGCGGCGGTGGTGGGAGCAGGGAGGGATGCACGAGGGAGCACGAGGGGAGCACGAAGAGAGCACGAGGAAGCAGCGGGGGGTCACGAGGAATCAGCGGGGAGCACGAGGGAGCAGCGGGGAGCACGAGGGAGCAGCGGGGAGCACGAGGAAGCAGTGGGGAGTACGAGGAAGCAGCGGGGAGCACGAGGAAGCAGCGGGGGGTCACGAGGGAGCAGCGGGGAGCACGAGGGAGCAGCGGGGAGTACGAGGAAGCAGCGGGGAGCACGAGGAAGCAGCGGGGGGTCACGAGGGAGCAGCGGGGAGCACGAGGAAGCAGCGGGGAGCACGAGGGAGCAGCGGGGAGCACGAGGAAGCAGAGGGGAGCACGAGGGAGCAGCGGGGAGCACGAGGGAGGAACGGGGACGAGATGGAGGAGGTTCTGGTTTAAAAGCGGCCCTTGACGATCGAGCGGTAGCACCGCATTTGCCGCTTGTTGCAAAGGTCAGGTTCGAGCCGAGCGGCCGCCCTGGCTAATGCTGCGGGTGCCATTATCATCACCATCATCAACAGCGTCGCCTACCACACACAGCATCATAGACCACGGCGGCCGCCCTGATTAATGTTGCGGCTGTGTTACACAAAGCAGAAATGCGCGGGACACGTTACAGACCTCGAGACGTCGTGGACCAAATCTGTCAACTCGTACGATTTTTACTCGCAATGAAACTCAGAGTGGGAGAAGCCACTGAGCTGCATCGCCCCCTCCTGGCAAGACTCAAGCCCACTCGCTGGTCGGTGCTGGCGATCAGCTGGTGCCGCACAGGGGCAGCTGCCACCGGAAGCGGGGGGGGGTCCTCGAGATGTACGAGATGGGAGGTGCGGTATGAATAAAGAGTCGCCTCCTTATCACTCTGCTATCGCTACTACTACTGCTGCTGCTCCGGATACTGTTCCCGTGAACTTCACCGCTTGAATCCTCCACCCGTGTCGAAGATTTGGTCTCATCCTGCGCATTAACTCCCTCCACCAACACCACCACCATTACCACACTGCAGGTCACATCAACGAACTGACCAACTCACCCACTAACCGAGTCCCTCACCTACTCACCCACTCACTCGCCCATTAACTTACTCACCCACTCATTCACCGACTCACTCACTCAAACACTCACACAGACAAAGATCTCCCGTGTAGCCTTAATAAGCTATTGGGGCAAGTGCTGTTAGTGAGTAGCACCTGTGAAGGCCGGAGCGGCACACGAGGGCGGTGGGTGGGCAGCGCCACGCCCGGCCGCCTTTGTCTCCACTCACTCACCAATTAACTCACCTACTAACCACTCACTCACCCACTCACCTACTAACCCAGTCACTCACCTACTCACCACGCACTCGCCCACTCACCTACTGTGAGCGCCGAATGATACGAATTTGGAGTGAAAGCAAAAAACCAAAGGCAACATTCAGCCGTCGCCGTAAATAAATACAACACGCGTGTTAGTCTATGGGCCCACTGGCCGAGCCAGTGGGGGGGGGGGGCACGTGCCCCCTAATGATCCGATCGACATCCCTCATTTCGATCGGATCATTGGGGTTTATTAGTAATAAATAAATCGGCATTTGGCGACCCCCCACTACCACTGTGTAGCATATTATTACGTGCCAGGGACTCTATGAGATGATAGGACAATAGCCTGAGTGCATAATTGGCAATAAGTAACGGCAAAGCGGTTATAAGTGACTCACAGAATTGTGCGCAGCTGTGTATACAGGCCACGACTTCCCTGAAGGCATTCACCTTCAGCGAGCGCGATGCCGATCACACAACGCGGTTCGAATTCGACCCTCGATCGATGGCTGCGCCATCGCCGCACACGTGTCGAATAAGAAGCAAGGGACAGGTCCTTACTTACTGACAACTCCTTACTTTCTTATTTTTACCTACGTGACTTTACCGAATAGAACCAAAGAGTATGGATCCTTGCAGTCACGAAAGCTTCAAATCTAGAACTCCTCTATCATTTTTCATTGCTGGAGGGGTTGCCCCACCTCTGCCTGTAAATCCTGGCTCCGCCATTGTATGGGCCCAATGGCCCTCCAGGAAACCAAGGTTATCCAGCACAATGTCTTTAAGCAATCAAAAAACCGCACCGCGTTTCCGACCTTCCGGGTCTCATCAGCGGAGTTGGTCTTGTTGTTAAACACACGTCTTATTAAACACACGTCTTATTAAACACACGTCTTATTAACACACACGTCTTGTTGTTAAACACACGTCTTATTAAACACACGTCGTATTAAACACACGTCTTGTTGTTAAACACACGTCTTATTAAACACACGTCTTGTTAAATACACGTCTTGTTTTCGTGGGCGAGCGGTGCTCCAAGCGGTCAGTTCACCACGCGCTGCTGCCGTGACCCCGCTAACTCCACGCTACACCCTCAACGCCCCTGAAGAAGAAGAAGCAGAGGGAGCAGAAGAATTCGCCGCCAAAGCGTCCGCCGTGAGCAGATGAACCGTCCGACGGACGCGTTGACGCAAAAAACCACGCGCAGCGAGTGGGGGGATTAATTACAGACGGCAGTCAATCCCAAACGCGGAGTCATCACCACCACCACCACTAACACAACCACCACAACCACAGGGCATCACCACAATCACAAATCACCAACACAACCATCACAACCACAGGGCATCACCACAATCACAAATCACCAACACAACCACAACAACCACAAATCATCACCACAATCACAAACCACAAACACAACCACCAACACAACCACCAACACAACCACCAACACAACCACCAACACAACCACCAACACAACCACCAACACAACCACCAACACAACCACCAACACAACCACCAACACAACCACCAACACAACCACCAACACAACCACCAACACAACCACCAACACAACCACCAACACAACCACCAACACAACCACCAACACAACCACCAACACAACCACCAACACAACCACCAACACAACCACCAACACAACCACCAACACAACCACCAACACAACCACCAACACAACCACCAACACAACCACCAACACAACCACCAACACAACCACCAACACAACCACCAACACAACCACCAACACAACCACCAACACAACCACCAACACAACCACCAACACAACCACCAACACAACCACCAACACAACCACAAATCATCACCACAATCACAAATCACCAACACAACCACCACAAGTTATCACCACAATAACAAACCACCACCAACAACAACCACCACCACTATCCATACAACTACCGCCACTACCACAACCACCACTACGAATGCCACAACTATCTACCACCACAAGTGCTGTTAGCGAGCACCTATGAAGGCCGGCACGGCACACTAGGGGTAGGTGGCACCACGACCGGCCGCCTTTGTCTCCCTAGTGGCGATGTTTACACGCCGCACCAGGTACTCATTTGAGGCTGAGTCGACCAGGAGAGGCCCAGGACCGGTTCAGATAATCGTCACTGGTGTTGGCTGTGAGCGGGAATCGAACTCGGGTTTGCCGGGTTCGTAGCACAGCGCACTAACCGCTACACCACCGCTCCCCACGACCCACAAACACCACGACCCACAAACACCACCACCACAACCACCACCACAACCACCACAGAGATGCACGGGGGGGAACGGAGGTGTCATCTTTGGGCCATAACAGCCGCGAGGAACGATTTCGGTGCAAATTCTTCCGTGGGTGGAGGGGGGACGAGGGCGGTGGAGGGTGTGGAGGGGTGGGGGGTGGGGCAGTGTTGCGATGGGGGGGGGGGGGAAAGCGGGCGGGTATTAATATTAAGTATTATTAGTAATTAAGTGGATTATTTATCATTCCATTGTTTTCTAATCACACGCCGAGGCCGTGCGGGCCCTGGGTGCCGCGAACTGGTGCGAGACATCGCTGATCGTTTCGTAAAATACTTTAAATTAAAGGTTTGATGATAGCCAGAATTGGCGTTGCGCTGACGTCCGTATTCGTGCTGAACTACCTGCTACGGCATGCGGGGTGGCGGGAGTGGTTGGAAACGTGCTCATTGTGGAAAAATATGGAGCAAACATCGGAAATGTCGCGCAAAGACACGTGGAGAGGCGCATGCTTGGGATTTGCATTGAGAGACAGAAAGAGCGACACGTGGATTGGAGAACACGCGCAGGCTTGAGACATCAGGCTGGAGACGTCATCATCACAACGATCCAGCAGTGGATAGACCACGGTGACGACGATTACATTGAGAGACAGAACGATGAGCACGTCGATTGGAGAACACACACGCGGGTTAATGATCAAAGGCATCCAAAAAATTAAGAACATGGAGTGGGCTTCGGCAGGTGACGTCGTGGCTGTAGGAGGGATGATGGACAGATGGTCGAGGATAATAACGGAGCCGCGGTCAAGGAGCAGAACTGGGTCTGAGAGGGACGTCAAACCGAGGAGATGGAGCACTGAGATGAGTTCGTGTGCAGTTGACGGATTGATTGTCGGATTGATTGTCGCATCGCATGACCGTGAGCTGGCTGGTTTGAGAGTAGAGACTTGAATCACGAACGATTTTAGCTCACACACAAGACGCCCCCCCCCCCTACCATGTCTGCTTGAACAGACTGTTGGGGCAAGTGCTGTTAGCGAGTAGCACCTACGAAGGCCGGCACGGCACACGAGGGGGTGGGTGGCCAGCACCATGCCCGGCCGCCTTTGTCTCCCGAGTGGCGGTGTTATTACACACCGCACCAGGTACTCATTTGAGGCTGAGTCAACCTAGGGGAGGCCCTTGTACCGGTGCAGACAATCGTCACCGGTGTCGGCCGTGAGCGGGAATCGAACTCTGGTCGCCGGGTTCGTCGCGCAGTGCGCTGACCGCTACACTACCGCTCCCCACACAGACACACACACAGACACACACAACAATGTACTAACTTATATAGAACGACGAGGTAGATTTCCCATCGTCAGCATCTCGCACCGTCCCTCCCTCCTCTCATCTCCCTCCACCCCCCATCACGCGCATCTCCCACCCCCTCCCTCCCCCTACCCCTCCTCTTCAGCTGAATCACAGTCGCCCAAGGGGGCTCTGTGTATGGGGTCGCTCAGCTGAACTGCGTGTTTGGGGTCAGATCATTGAGTCTGCCCTGAGGGCTGCAGAGGGGTGCAGGAGGAGTGGGGAGCGGTGGTGATTGGCGATGGGAAGCTTGGGTGAGGAGGGGGGAGGGGCGGGGGGTTGTCAGAATCCCCCCCTCCATCACCTCCCCATGTTACACCTTAAGTGCAAGGATTAGTTGACCGTGGCAGGAATGTTTTAAGAATTTTTTTACAGAAAATAACAAACACACACACAGACACCGTGGAAGAGTAGGCCAAACGCCCTCCAGCCAGCAGTGACGTGTGCAGGCACTTGCCGGGCTGCGCATTTACCCTTG